TTTTAAACTTTGATTTTATCATTACCTACATGAATGACCGCCTCTGTAGCCAAATGGTTAAACGTATTGTCTAGTATTGCGTTATGCGTGAGAGTCTTAGGTTCGAATCCCAGGAGAACAAAAAATTGTTCCGGTCGGGTAGAGCACAGAAGTCTGATCAACTACTTGCCTGTTAAAGAACGGATCAGTGAAACGGACACAAAATGTGTCTGCCCATGCCCCACGAGGGGAAACGGGATTTCACTATAAAACTACATGAATAAATTATTTAAAATATGCTTAAACTTTGAGAACATTAAATTGTGAGAACTCAAGTGCAATTTATTATTGTTTCTCTATGGCACATTTAAGGCAATTTTAATGTCTTCAATTCTCTGTTGTCTAATCACAGCGATGTCGTCGGCATAGCTAGGGTGGGCCACGTGTAATCTCGGAGTAGGTATATTTGAGGCCATAATCCTCAAAGCTTCGTCTAAGGTAATCCTAGGCAACGACAAAATGTCGGCTTTGAACCGAATTCACTTGTACATTTACGCTTCACAGGTTCATAAGACGGAGGGTGATAACAGAATTTCTTCAGGTACTTTTAGAAGGGACTTACTTAGATCTTATTGAGGTATTGCGACTAGGTATGTAGTTGTAATATTACGACAAATGTGTATATGAAATTATAATATGTGTTTTATGAGGGGTTTACGACTAATTTCAAATTTCATAGTAATTTAACGACGGTAAACGGAGTTTGGAATGTAGCGAAAGTACGCAATACATAAATAAACAATTTTTAATGGGCCTTTGTTAAGAATGTTGTTATGTTTCTATTAATTTTGCACTGGTATCAAACTTAATTATTCATTTTTTAGTTACGTTATACTGAATATTATTTTTCTTTTAAATAAAACACTTTAACGGTTTAAAACGCGATATATTAGTTAAACTTATGCACGGGTCACGGGTCACTCCGTGGTCACGGGGAGACTCTCCCCGTGACCAAGAGCCGAGTCTGCTGTCTAAGTCGGGATGCTGCAAAGCATCTAAAACGTCGGGCCGAAGTTAAAAATCATTTTCAAATAAGTTTAACTAATATATCGCGTTTTAAACCGTTAAAGTGTTTTATTTAAATGTGTACTACTCGCGTAAACTGTAGACAATATTTTATTATTTTTATTTGAATTTTTTCTATAGTTCTACGAATGTCTAAATATAAAATAAATCAACAGCCCATCATTGAGATGTCATATGGCTGGGTTATTTCACTCCGTGCTTGTCTGTTCTCTTCTATCCTAAAAAATCGACGATAACTATTTCGCTTATTGTGGGAGAAAGGGATGTGTTGTTTTAATTAGGTTAATAAACCAGCACTCTGATGAGCGATGTGTTCGGTCGCAACGCTAAATGTATGCCATTATTCCTCTCGAAGGACGAATAAAAATAATATACACGAGGATCAAGTTGATCCGATGATAAATGAGGGTTCAAGCCGCAGATATAAAAGCGCGATAGACCTGAAAAACTATATGTTGTTGTTTTATGTCGCTATAAACCATTTCCCAAGCGTAATTCTCTGTCATTTGGATGACTCGAAGATCCCTTATTTTATGGTATCGCGGAATATCGGCGCATTCGTTGTGAAGTTTAAACTGTGTTATTACCCATATCGTACAGACGTGGACCTGCTTGGGTGTTATAAAGGCTTATAGAATAAATTAAAACATTCGACAGTCATCTAAAAGAAAATCCACTAGTATACTTAATTATCGTGAGTTCGATTCCAAGTCGCGTTAAAATTCGTTTTTTTGTGTTTATTCTGACACTTGCTCTTTGGTTAAGGATACGTCGTGGTCGAATATATGGCATAGACATGTTCTAAAGTCACAAATTAAAAAAAATGTGTCAGAAAATCTGTCATCTGTCATCGCCAATAAGCACTTCGACAGTGATGAATTCAATTTTGTTTCAGTGGGAATTATTAGCCATATGATAACGACGACGAAATCAGAGTTAGACAAAAAGTAAAATGAGATCACGAAGGTTCGTTGAGATGATAAATGACTTTAACCGAAATAGTAACAGCATGCAAGGTTCATATTGGACCGTTTTAATACTGGTTACATGAACGTTTCAGGTTAAATAAACAGGATTGTCCGGCGTATCGGGTCGACCCCCACAATCGTTGCCCATCTAAATGGTATTCATTAAGTGAATATCGTGGCTGCACAAAGATACTAAGCTCTCTTCAAATAAGTTGAAGTTAACGAGTTCAACGTTCGGATTGACTCGGATTTTTGCTAAGGAAGGATTATGAAATTGCATTACGCGAATATTTGATTGTATGGTCTTTATAAGAATACTCGTAGGACGGTTTCATTATGCTCTTAAACTTATAAAAGAGAATGTAGCGTAAGAAACATGAATTTTTCCTCTTTCCTCTAAAGTAATATTTTAAAAATTGGCGATTAATGAATTGTCATATAAGTTTTTACCAATGATTTGGGTATCTCAATATATTTAAGGCCAGGATTAAGCACTTTCTTCATAATGTTGTTTAGACTTGGCCTCACTGGCTTTAAAATAAATAACATTTAGAACCTTATGTTTCCTTAGGTGTTAAGTGTGTTATTATATGTATATAGTATGTTTAATTTAAATAATCATTTTATTGTTGACATTTGCTTCTTTACTGTAATTTTCGTTTTTCTTTCTACATGCAAAAAGTGCCTGGAAGAAATCACCATAGGCGATAAGGCTACTTTGAACAAACATTTTTATTTGTAGATCTTATTTTGAGTGTCTATGTTATTTATATACTTCGGTGTAAATATATTTGTGCAATCAAGAGTTTTATGATTAATATTATTATTCTTTGATATAATTCCATGCCCTGCCCACCCGACCGTTCAATACGCAGTGTTAGACAAATCAACAGACTAGACAGCTACATATTTAACCTTCTACATAGCTCTTTGTAGCGTATAAGTACTTATAAATACATATATACAAATTATAAATTCAAGTTATTCGATGCTACATTTTACTTATGTGTCTATAAGATCGTTAATCTTAAATCGTGTTAAATAAAAATGCGATAAAACGTACTCTACGCTCGGTGTACCCGGAGTAGAGTGTGGTCTCTGCTACGGTCGTGCTACGGTGTTAAATTCGTAGCGCTACATTAATCACAGTGGCCCGTAGCCCGTAGCACGTATTATTTTCAAGTCTCCGGAGACTCCGGTTGGTATTATGTCACACTCGATACAAGACTTACTCGAAGTTCGTTGACGAGAAATTAATATCTCCAGCTAAGGGGCCGTGCACGAAATGGAGCACGGTCTTCATTTCGAGAGGATTTGAGGGAATTCATGTTTGGGAAATATACGGTGACGTAGAGTGAGATTATTTATATGCCTTTGCGTGACGTGAGAGAGAATGTATAAATAATACTCTTTTGGAGCAATTTATATCAAATACTTTGAACGGTTTAAAACGCAAAATATGTTGATTTATTTATTTTTATTTTAACTACGGTCCGGCGTAATGGAGTTTCATTTAAAGTTGACACATTCATTTCGCATTTCAAATAATTAAAGTGTTTTATTTAAATGTCTACTATGTTCTTAAACAACAGACAATACTTTTGCAGAATATTTGAGTTCTCTGTCAAATTAAAATGAGTATTTTTTCACTGAAGAGCAAATGATTGGTATATATTATAAAAGAATCTTAGAGTACCTCTTTTTGTTGCATTAGTTAGGGTAAAATTATAAATGTTACACAAATAGTTTAGTTACAATTGTTGTATAACTCATTTTAAGAGCGTGAACAAGTCTTATCAAGTTATGTCCACAATTATTATCTAGAGAAGTAGGCTGTGTCAACTTAGAGTTGAGAACGTAAGTTTAAGACATTTTATAAGATAATATCAAATAGTCGCTATATTTAAAAAATACCTAAAGATTATTTAAATATGAATTATGTACGCTAATTTGTAAATTTATATAAATACTAGCTGTGCCAGCGACTTCGTCGCGTAGAAATTTGGGCATAAAAAATAGTTTTTACCTCCTAATATTTAAACATTATAGCTGTTACGTGTTACCCACGACGTCGCTAGTGTCCGGTCGTTCTTACAAGTCAATCTTATAAGACATATAGAGTCGCCAAAGGACAGTCTCGAAAGTACTTCAAAACGGAGACGTGTCTGGACAGCTGTTCTGATCACACACCAATCATACTGAATGTCAGCATGGTTGTAATTGAGCCTGAAAGGACTCAAATGCTTTACAACCATAGAACAGACTGGGACTCTCTCCGAGAATATGTTGATGAGGCAATCAATCTAAAGGTCAAGCTAAAAACTGCTGAGGATATAGATCAGGCTCTGAAACATTTTACAAACCTGGTCCAAGAGGCATGCTGGAGAATGACTCCTGTCCTAGATAGTTCCAGATACAATACCAACTTACCACTATACATTAAAGATAAAATAATTGAAAAAAGAAGACTGCGTAGAATCTGGCATCTTAGCAGACATCCCATAGACAAAGCAGCCTTGAATAAGGCAATACAGAACTTAAGGAAACTAATCCAAACAGCAAATGACTTGACCCTACAGGACCAGTTGCAGTCACTGTCTGCAACTAAGGTAACAGACTATTCGCTTTGGAAATGTATGAAATCCTATGACAGACCACAAGAGCAGAAGCCACCACTTAAAAATGAAAAGTGCTCCTCGAAATGGGCACGAACTACTACTTTTTGCTAGTCATTTATCAAATGTGTTTGTACCAAATGAAACTGGTGATCGAAATGCAGAAAGTGACATTAATGGCATACTAAACCAAGATTTTCAATTGGATCTTCCTCCCCGTCCTGTGACTCCCCGAGAAGTACGGAAAAATATTGGATTGCTTGATAACAAGAAAGCACCGGGCTATGATCTAATTACAAAGGAAGTGCTCGTCGAGCTACCTTGGAGAGCCATATTATACATTACCATCCTAATGAATGCTATGTTGAGACTACAATATTTCCCAGACCTGTGGAAAATCTCTGAGATCATTATGATATACAAGGCCGGGAAACCTGCAAATGAAAAGACCTCCTATAGGCCAATAAGTCTATTACCAACAATCTCAAAATTGTTTGAGAAGATATTGTTAGATAGAATAATGCCATATCTAGTTGAGAGAAAAATCATACCGGACCACCAATTTGGCTTCAGAAGACAGCATGGGACGATAGAGCAAGTACACAGAGTCTGCGAGTACATAAGGAGCACCCTGGAACAAAAGGAATATTGCTCTGCTGCCTTCCTTGATGTCCAGCAGGCATTTGATCGAGTTTGGCACAAAGGTCTTCTGTGCAAAATTAAAGAGAATCTGCCTCATACATTGTTTACCATATTGAAATCATACTTAACTGACAGGTTGTCTTATGTTAGGGAATCGGAGGAGTGCTCAACCCTTTTGGAGATAAAAGCGGGAGTACCACAGGGTTCTATACTGGGACCAATTCTTTATGTGGTCTACACTGCAGACCTACCTGTAACGCCTGGCACCATGTTGGCCACATTCGCTGATGATAGGGCAATTCTTGCATGCCATAGCAATCCTGATGTGGCATCAAGCAAACTACAGGAAGCCCTAAATAGAATACACAGCTGGCTAGAACGATGGCGCATAAAAGCCAGTGCGGCCAAATCCGTGCATGTGACCTTCACCCTCAGAACTGGAAACTGCCCCTCTGTAACCCTAGGTAATAACACTTTACCTCAGAGTAACTGTGTGCGCTACCTCGGCATCCACTTAGACCAACGGCTGACATGGAGGCAACACATAAATGCAAAGAAAGAAGAAATCTCACTTAAACACAACAATTTGTACTGGATGCTCAGCCGCAACTCCAAGTTATCACTAGACAACAAACTATTAATTTATAAAACTGTCATCAAACCGATCTGGATGTATGGTATCCAGTTGTGGGGGAGTGCCTCCGACAGTAATATTAACATATTACAACGCCAAGAAAATAAAATTCTTCGGACCATGGCCAATGTGCCATGGTTTGTTCGTAATTCGGAACTCCATGAACACCTGCGAATTGGCACAGTTAAGGATGAGATACGCTCTGCTGCTGTAACATACAGGAAAAAGCTCACAATCCACCCAAATGAACTTGCACGCCAACTGACCATAAATAAATATACTGTACGCCTGAAAAGACACCACATCATGGAACACATTCATTGACAATCACACTTCAAGATCGAAAATAGCTCCAAAAGAAAGAAAATAAATAGTAGGTGTTCTCATTGGAGAATGCCCTCTACATGTTAAATAGATACATCGCATCTGCTCATAGTCTCGAGACTGATCGCAGATAATAAAAAGAAAAAAAAAGAAAATATAGAGTCGCGGATATATTTTTAAATGATTCAAAAAAATTTGATACATATGATATTTTTTAACTTAAAGCCTTCCTCGATTTATGTTCTAAATAACACAGAAGTAATTTTTCAAATTGAATTAATAATGTTTGAGATGATAACGTTTAAACAAACAAACAAACTCTTCAGCGTTTGAATACTAAACAGATATCGAATGTTATTAGGACTTGGTATGACACTTTTATTCAGTTGGGTAATAGCGCAGAGTCCATGCAATGTTTGATACGTAAAGGCAAATTACTACCTTATAATTGTATACTTTTCATTATATATATAAAGAAATATAAAACTATCTCTTCAACAACAATGAATGAATTTAAGAAGTTTATTTATAGTATTTATTCCTTAATAGACTTACACATTCTAATACATATGCCATTAATTACAATTGTTATTAGTTTATTAAGTCAATTATTTCATCTGCAGAATGAGATTTGGTACCGTAAGCGCTAAATAATATATCGTCCGTCTCGGCGAGAACACAAAAGGCCGCGTTAATATAAAAGTAAAGTTCGCCGGTCAATATGGCTTCGCACTAATAAAAGATAAAACTCATTTCTAACTTGGCCACTAGTTAAGCCGTGTTATTAATTTCATCCCGACTTTTATTTTTATTTATGGCGATGTTATTAAATCGCGGAGGATTACGATTCACCGGCGATCCTCTATTTATTGCTGCTTTCGCGGCTTCGCAGGAAAGGTGATGTGCTAACTTTTATATCGGGATGTGCTTTAATTATTTTTATTAATACACCTGTCGGGCGAGCGCGGACTTTATTCATTTCATCGCCAGTTTTGTGTGCGTGCAATTTTATATGCCTTAATTTATTGGTAATATTCAGCGTAAAACAACTTGATGTTTTAAAAACTTTAATATTTTTCACATATTATTATATACTTCAAAATTTCTCAATTAGATTTATTTATGGTCTTCTGAAATACGACCACGTGTGAGAATTTCGAGCTAAACTCAAATGGTCGCCTATTAGACTCCGACGAAACACTCACATCCGCTGTCTTCTTTTCTCTATTCTCTTCGATCCGCGCACTCCATCCTATCTAAAACAAAGGTTTATATTTATGGATTCTTCCCATGAATTTGACCTTCGTTCCTCCTACAAACGTCTCCTTTCTATGCCTACTCATTCATCTAAATGCTATGAATCTTCTTTTTCTGTTCAGGCTGTCCGCCTATGGAACAAGCTGCCACCCGCGTTTAGACTATAAACGCTAAAGTCTTAACTCCTTTGAAGCCAAAGTCAAACAATATTTTCTTCAAAGTATTGTTTAGTCGTGATTTTATTGGCTTATACTTTTATTATTTATAAAGTTGCATCTTTGTGAGATCTAAATTTAATCTTAAGTTTTTACTTTTTAGGGTGTTAACGTTTTTTGTTGTGTATTGTACATTGTAATTTACAACTTACAGCATTTTCTGTCTCATTCTCGTTGGTTTTTATTCATTTATTGTTTTGTTTTCCTTTTCTTTAAACAAAGGTTGCTTGCTGCCTTGACCAAGTTTAGGACATGTTAGCTCAAAGCGTGTTGTCAAATTTTCTCGATCTTAATCAGTTCATTTTTAGGTTAGAATTAAGCAGTCTTCAATTATCTTATTCTTTTACAGATGCGGATCATAAAATATAGCTTTGATAGAAAGGTTAGCGTAATTTTATAAATTTCTCAATTGGCAGTATTTGCGTTACGAAATTAAACGTGTTTAAGTATAAAATGTGGGGAATATAAAATATTCAGCGAGTAGCACACGAAAATATCGCCCGAGTGATCAATTACAATAAGCGAATGGCGGACGCAAATTATAGCGAACAAAATGGCCAGAATTTACCGCACTGCTGAAATTATAATGAGTACACCAATTGGACGCAGAACGCGTATGTGCATATGATTAAATATTAGAAGAAATTGTTGATAACTTCTAGAACGTCTCTGCCTTTTATGGTAGGATTCAAGACGCCATTTGCATACTTCATGTTCCTCATAGATCAGTAGTTTCAAAATACTTTGAAAGTACTCATAATTGTATCTGTTGATATAGTCTATGCTTATGACATGCAATCTGCAGCTGTTAAATTTATCCGCCCTTGTCTCTTGAAGTCTGGGAAAGAGTGCGTGAGCTTTTTTTTCAATTAATTTTATTAGATATTTTCCATTAGTTCAGGCAAAAATCATCAATAAATAATAAAGTAATTAACAAAACACAAATACAGTATCTTCTTCCTTATTTAGTGGTATTCCCTTTTTTAAAAGATTTGCCATAATGGTAGAGGTCGTCTTTTTACATATTTTATGCATCTACCAAAAGTCTAGTAGTTAGTTTTTGTTATCTATTGCGTTTGATATCTTAATACATTTTTCTTTTGATTCGTAGTGTAAAAATATAATGTTAAAATTTAAAAAGCCTAGTATGAAAGAAAATCATTCAAATTTGCAGCAGCAAGTGACGAAAAGTTGAGATCAAAACAAAAATTTTCATCCGGAAAATGTTTAAAAGTGCGTCCCATAAAAATCGTGGAAAAGTTTCTTTCGCGACAGATGTTCCGATATTAGGGGCCGATATATCTTTATGGCGTCATTTAAATAAGAAACCACTCAAGAGTCGTTACGGTCATTCGGAAAGTTATCAATGATTGGACCGACGATAACGCTGATTTAAAACCGAGACGTTATGATTATCCTACAGCGGCGGCGCACGAGAGGGGGAATACTCTTATTTTACTACTTTTCATAGATGAAAAACAAGCACGGGGCTCACTTGATGGGCGATGAAAAATCTAAAACAATTAAAACTGTAAATTTACGTTTACCTACTACCAGTTAGCAAATTAGGAGCGTAGAACGAACGAGAAGAAATGGCAAGAAACTCGCCGCTACTCCATTTATTGTAGTTTCTTGCTTGTTAGAGCGGGGTCCTCCATACCCTAATCATTTTTATCGTTAAAATATTGAATTAACATACGATTGAAACTGATTGGAATTGTAATTAATTTTTGGGGCTTTTTGACACGTGAAAAATTAGAAGAGATTTCAAATATAATATTATCTTTTGAATCGTTTAAACATAAGCTTGTTAATTTGGCGCTACCATATTCATATTACGTCGTCGTTTTTTGTTTACTGCTTGCCTTCTTTCTTAATATATGAAAAGCTATCACAAAGACATCTAATATACTGCGTCCATTCATAATAAATTAAAACGCCTTCAGAGCTCCATAAAAACTTTATTTATGTTCTCAAGGCGAGTCCAGCATCCGAAATATGTAGGAGGAATGCAAAAATCTGCGTTCCATACTTTTATTGTTAGTGAAATTTTTGCTTTGCACGAAGATGTAAAATACAATGAGGCAAATGAAAACAAAATGTGCTTTAGTTCGTAATTTCTTTTGTTATAAAGAAATGCGCTTCAAAAGAACGTTAAGAAACAATTAAAGTTTAAAAAGAGCTTATGAAAAGTTCTCATTAACTTTTGAAGACGCAAATTCCTTTGTACATAATACTAATGCACGTTATTTACTTTGCCTTCAGTCCTTAAGCCAAAATCAGTTTAGGTACCATCTCAAATCATTTTTGGTTCTTCGAGAGAATATTCTCTAAAAACACATCCAATATAGAGTTTGTATAGGGTTCAATTTGTAGTAGAATATTTCCATATTCCGACCGAAGCGTTGAGCTAGCGGGTTTCTATTAAAATGCCAGAGATGAACTACAATATTTTGAGCGAAATATCTCAAGTTATTTTGATTTAAATATTGCGGGACCTTTGGCCATAATGCCGGAGTCGGGATCGAGGTATACGTTCTATATTTTAATGCGCTCGGGACTTCGCGGAAGGTCCGAACCCGAACGTTAAACGTGTTAGTTCGCTTTATTGAATATCGGGATATGACAGTCCTGTGGGAGAAAAATATCGAAGGTCGAGCATTTGCCTGAGAATCGTGCTCTCAGCGGGTTTTCATGGCAGTACTTTCGGGATCCAGGTAATGGATTCCGGTGGAAATCTGCGAAAGTTGGTATTAATTTTATATTGAGTTGAGATCGGTGATTGTACGAAGGGGTTTATACGTTAATTTGAGGATTGGGGACGTGGGTCTATTCTGAAATAAGATAAAACGTGGGTTTCGTTAATCGGAGAAGATTCCATTAAGAGTAATGAAGAATTCAATATTTACGTATTTCAATTTTGGCCGTTTGGAAATCTATACAAGATGTGTTAAAAAATATATACAAGAAATGCTGACAGCTCTTTTTTGAAGACAAATTTCTCGGCTTTTTCATCTGTGGATAATGGTTCACGGACCTTGGACAGAATTTCAACATTCCTACTTATTACTATCCCTAATTAAAATTTCTAGACGTTTAGAATATATATTGGAGCAAAGGGGCATTGAACTCACGTTTCTTTGATTATTTGCTACACCTTGCTCCTATTACCAACGAACCCGTCAAATGTATATATGAATAATACTAGCAGTGGGCTAAAATACTGCCTTAAAAGGCACGTTTCCTTTAAATCTGTATTGTATAACAATAACTGTAGCGTTCCGAAACGAAATCCGGACGAACACACTAATGCTCGCAATAAGTTGAAGTTGAACGATAAAGTTGAGAAACAATAACAGCATCGATATATCATGTTTTGCTCGTGTTCCGTTATTGCGTTGCGTTTGAGACAGTATCGGGTAATACGGCATCTTAGGTCTGCCCTTGCGTTGGCCTGACCACATGTGCCGCTAAGATGCAATATCAGATCTATAAATAAACTTTTAAAATTGCCACCCTCGAAAAGGT